GTTCTGAGGAATTGTTCGGTTTGATCCCCGCCGCATCTTTTTGCTATCGTTTCACGCGAAAACATGCTCATCCCCATCACATAGATAGGTTGGCAGTCAACAACTGTGCAATTCTCGCGTAACTTTCTACCTTTGGAATGATCTTCCGGCGGCGGTATTCCCGAACCGATACGACCTTCTAACTGTATCATGGCAAAGTAAGATTCTCACTCGGACTAATAAAATTAACTATTGTTATCTACATTACTACACATTGCATATTTGCGTATTTTGTATTTAATACTATTAATGTGATGTAGGTTACTTCAGATACTATAAAACACACAAGTATGCATCTAGTGATTTGCACTACTACGGGATTGCCGTCAACAAATGTGATCGCTAGGGCATCGTATAGTTTCATGTTACAGAGAGTATTTACATAGCCGAGAAACAGTGTCGGCCCTAGTACTAAGCCCTGGGGCATTCCAGAATTGCCTTTTAACTTAGAACTATAAATATCTTCAGACCTTTACCTAGTTCTTCAATTTACAATCTAGGTCGATTTTGTTACTTTTTTTAATTAATAAGTTATAACCATATTTAAGGATTGAGAAAAGATCGGGAGAGGAAGAGGGATTGGGCCTCCGGTAACCTCAATTACCTGGCGAAACACAAAACTGAGCTGTTCACGCCGATTTTCTGTGAGGCCGAAAATCCGAGGCCGTGGTATCAATCCGGTCGTGCAATCCATTCGTGCCGAAATCTTGTCTCCCCCAATTTAAAAAAAAGACACATAATCATAAAAGATGTCAAATGTTTAATTTTGTGTATGGGTAAAACAATTACATACTGTCTTATAGAAACATACAATAATATTTTTTTCTTAATATCTTTTTTCCACTCCTTTTGTTATTCATTTCTCAACTGCTTACATAGTAGATTTATTTTTAAACTGTGGTTTTTAATAAAATAATAATAAAAACTTTCATCTTTAACTCCGAGGGATTTTTTAAATTGTGTTTTCATAGATATATTTTAGAATCTTACGAAGTAGCCCAATCCCTCCCCTTCCCCTATCCCTTCCCAATCCTTATATCCGCAACCCCCATCCCCAAAAGGCCGGCAACGCACTCGTAACTCCCTTGGTGTTGCGGGTGTCCATGGGCGGCGCCGATTGCTTACCATCAGGTAATCCGTCTGCTCGTTTGCCGACTTATACCATAAAAAAAGTAGGTAGTATTTATTTTGAACTGTTAAAGTTTACCTTTTAGTTTTCTTTAAAGTGTTTGTTTTATACTTTTTTTTTTAACTTCTTGTGCTTTTTACTCCATTTATATAGTTCACCATATTTTTATAATCATTGTCATTATAATTTAATTGTATTTATATTGGAGCTTAAGATTCCATCAACTACCTACCATTCATTACGATAACATGATTACCAATGCTAATATTATAGAATCTAATATCATTTGATATCTCAAAAACAGAAGCGTTAGAATTCACAATAAAAATGCAATGAAATACGTCCTGCACATTGTTAACGAGAACAGACCCTCTGTAAATTTGTTTTACCGATGGCACTCGTATGACACCGCCGTGCCCGAGGCACCTCACTATGCATGGCCAATCTGTACATATGAAATATTTTGTACTATATACTGAATGACTGACAGACGGATTAACGCACGACCTAAACCCAGGTTGGTATTGACGGAAGGATTAATGTTATGCGTACCTAAACCGCAAATGGAAGAGCTGTAAGTGTTTTAATGCCTGGTGATCCAAAAATATGGATCATCACGTCACATCATCAGCCTATAAGTGCCCACTGCTGAACAAAGGCCTCTTCTCACGAGAAGCGGGCGTTATAACCAACCAAAATATGGCTAAGGTCCACAAAAAGGTAACTGTAATAAAAAGTGTGCGTTAAATAACAATTTTAAATGCCCTTCATAATATCTTCATAACCATGCGGACGAAGGTCGCTAGCAACAAGTAAGCAGAAACAAATGAGCCACTAAGAGCTTCTCCAATTACCACATTTATTCTACGTACGTACATCGAAACTATGCGAAAAATGATAATTTTACCGACTTTTTAATAACAGGCTGCGACCTTCAGGTGCTGTAAATTTTGTTAACTATATACTAACAATGGTTTAATGATGCAATCACGCGAGTCGGCTTGGAAACAACAAGAAATGATGAATGATCGTTAGGGACCTACTGAAAATGTATTTAGAATTTAATATTCTTATTGATTGCGGGTGCAATGTACCGCGGCCCTTTCTAGGAGTATGGGAAGAAGGAATGTAGATAATGGTTTTCAGTCAGTAAATGTTTGTCACTCCACTTTTTCGCTCTCGCCCTCGCAAGTTGATAACAATTGAGGATCATACCTGATATTTCTGATATTTTTAATTAAATTAACTAAAACAACACACTACTCATTACTCGTGTCCGCCATGACAGTTATTTTCATATTTTAGACAGAGAAAGCCATACACCATTTCATCATCACATCTTTGTCTCATCTATTGCATTGTCTATAACTGTACGTTTCATTTCACTCAACAATAATTTTTCTCAAAAAGAAAAATAAGATTTGGTTCACATCATATTATTATAAACTAGACACATCATTTTCTTTTTAGGAATATTTTCTAATATTGGTGACGATTGGTGTATCATGCTCATTTAACTAATAAAAATAAAAAAGTTACTAATGTCTGTGGCTAAACTAAAATTTAGATATAGAATGACTAAAGACTATGGATACAAAGAAACATTACTTTGCAAAGCATTTGAAAATAAATAAAACCCTTAGGTACCTAATAGAGCGTAGTATTTACTAGTAGTTTCTAACTTACAGATTTATTGGTAACTTGTTGAATACGTATCGCAATGCAATAACATTCCTAGGAAATTGCTATTGGAGTTTGTAAGGATTCACGTATACTATTTTCACTTGTTTGGTACTTTAGTGCTGTAAATAAATGTTAACAGTGTTAATCTAGCTAGGTAATCGATTATCGTTTTAGTTTGAAAAAAAATCTTGAACAACTCGTAGTCTTTTAATTTTGATATTTATGTCGTTTATAGTTGGCATATTATTCAGTGATTCGTTTCATTTTGTTTGAAGTATCACTCCGTGAAATAGACTTTGGAATTTTTGACGAGGCCCATAGTTATAAATAATATTTGTCAATTAGAACTGAAGTAGAGTTATGTTTCGCGTGTGAGGTTACCCGAGCCCCAATCCTTCCCCTACCCCAATCCCTAAATCTCCAAAGAACTAACCCCCAAAAAGTTCGCCAACGCACTTGTAACTCCTCTGTTGCGGGTGTCCATGGGCAGCGCTGATTGCTTACCATCAGGGAATCCGTCGGAAAAACATCTAATATGTTTCGAAGCACTATTCTTGTCTTCAATGCAATACGAATATAGTATGTACGTTTGTTTTGAATACCCTTTCATTGAGACCCGATATATTTGGTATTTCATATCTGCAGATGAAATTGAGCTATTTCTGTATGGTATGTCAAAGCGACGAAATACAATAGGTACGATTATTTTTGTGTGATTAAATACGTGTAGTAAAATCTATTGAAGTATTGGACGCTGCAATTCACTATATATGTAATAGAAATTCGAGCTTTGTTTGTTTGTATGAATAGAAATTCACTGCGATTCAGCTTCCAGCTTCCGTCAAAAACCTTTGTTTGACGTGACAGTAAATACATTCGTGTATGTAAAGTTTATTATTTTAGTTTGTTAAACTTGGCTCTACATGAGGTTTATCTGCTACACATTTACAAACACATACTTCGCATACATAGGAGTATAATGACCACATCCTAAAAATACTGTTCCGTACTAGATTCGAACCATCGCCGCGACACGTTGCAAGTAGCCGTCTGCCCCGCCACTCCGCCAAACGTGCTCTCAATCGTATTGTTTCGTGGCTTGGAAAACTATTCTTTATTTAATTGGAATCCTAGTATAATTGGTGTTCGTGTTCAAACAAACCTATCCTAGGAAAAAATATTCCGAAAACAATAAAAGCTCTGAACTGCATGCGTCAACCGTGCAAAGTCGTTTATCGATTTTATTTACGTATGTAGTTGTGATTTAAAACTACATAAAAAAAGTACGAATTCGCCTAATATCTGTAATATCGTCTTATCTGGAATAACTTTACGTTCATTGTTGGCTGTAGTTGGAATGCTAAGGCTGTCCTCCCCTGTTCTATTTCCCGTTGGGGTAGGCACCGACAATGGAACGCCAACTAATATGGCTCCGGCATACCTCTTCCACTTCATAAATGTTCATCAATATTTTACTTTACGCTCCATTTATTAGGTCTTATATCCCATTAATAAATAGTCTGAAATCGTCACTTCATACCATTCGAACAAGTTGCCATGCAAACTGAAATGCAATTTTGAACCTTATATTGTACTTACGGTTTGAGTTTCGAGTCCATTCTTGTTTGGTAACGAGACGTGCAAATATATGTCGGCCCTTTGACGAGCAACACATGTTTCAATTTCAATCTAGCAAACGTTTCGTTCGATCCTATGATGTAACCTGTATTTTATCAGGAAATTGTCGCTTCGCATGTGTATTACATGTAAAATCCTGATTATTATTGTATTTTGATAAGTACCTAGTTTGTTAGTTTATTTGATCCAGTGATCTATCTTTGAAGGAGTTAAGAGTAAATGAAATTCAAACTACGAATGATAAACGAATTTTATTTTCTTACCTTTGATTATATGAATTTGAACCTAAGAACACTCTTAGTTTCATAAGAAAAATTCGTTTAAAAATGCAGTTGTCTGTTGATCTGAATATAATACTGTTGCTGCATCAGAGAACATAAACATTATTACTGGGTTTCCTAGAAAAGCTTTACAAAAGATAATAACTACTTTTCCTAGAAACGCTATACTTAGCTAAGTTAATGAATGTGAGCTTGTTTCAGTGTTGATGGTGTGTCTGTTTGCCCTACAGGTGGTGGTGCAAAGACTCAGTGCTGGGTCGGGTCTCCCATCGAACGTGGAGTACCAACACCACAAGATCCCCGACGTGCCATACCAACCCACTGTCCGAGAGAACATGTGTTTCCACGCGATCACTATGATGAAGGTACGTAAAAAAAGTTTTAACAGTGATTTTATCTCTTGTAGACTAAGAAAGGTAGGGCATGTTCGTGTCTCATATATTTTCTAATCAGCTTATATTATGAACGCAAAACTTTGTAAGTTTGAATAGATAAAAAAAGAACCGTTTCGTTCATAATTCACATTAGATACTTAACAAGGAACAAAACTATTAATCTTGTAAATTAATAGTTGAGTTTGTAAAGATAAAAAATTTGCCGGATCAGCTAGTCTTAGATAATATTAAGACATTAGTGATGATTTTTACGAGAATTTGGAAATAGTTTGACCACGGGATTCGAGCGAAGACTTAATAATATTGGGAAGAATATTTGATTAGAAATCAATTATCAAACTACCCTATTGCCCTTACAACCTCATCGACTGTGCTTTACGTTAAATAGCTTTCTTAAAAACAAAATGTAGGCTAACGGGGTTATAATCAAATTTTTCACGGGTCGCACCACACACGCTTAGTAAATGGGAAGCTGTAACAACACATTAGCCGCGGGAACATTGATGTTGACGGCTCTGTATACAATCTACAGCTGCAACGCTGTCTATCATGATTAAGTTGTTTTCCAACATTTTTCTAGCCTTTATTTACACTTTATTCTTGACCTGAATTGCCATAATAACTTCTAGTTGAAGCTCCAGGACCTCGCAATTCATGATAGGATTTAAAATGACCGTGAATAGCGAAGCCTCTGATTTTCATTTTACCTCGTACGCAATATTACTGCAGTTGTGGAATGCAATTTTCACCATCGAATATGTAATATTTTTATAAAAGATGGGAAAAATAATAGCACGGAGATTTAATTTGGTAACCAAATATGTTATATCTCATGATTTAAAGAACTGTGTTTACAATTCAGTTATATTTGTAATATTTGCTTACAAAACTGTTTGCTGTTCCTTGAATTTTATCAATAGCTTTGGCTCTGGGTAAAATCCATATTCAAATATGCACACAGTGTTACCTGTTTGACATATTATTATGTAAGTTCATTCGATCATATTCATCTATATCATAAATCTACATCATTAGCTTATAATACAGACATTCAGAGAACCTAGCATTAATCACCACAGTCCATGTTTACCTCACTATTTTTGTGCACTGTTTGCCCGTGACGTCTGATTAATCAAAGACAGTAAATGTAACTCGGAAAAATTCACACTGGTACTTGCCAGGTTTTGAACCCGCGTCCTTATGCATGAGAAGCCAGCGTGTAAACCTCCTGGCCGCCACGACGGCATACATGTCTATATTAAATTTAAAAATAAATATAAGCTGGAGCATATTTATTAGCATTTTTCGCAATTGCAAGTGTGGAGGAGGAGATGTTTCATGCTTCAGCACAAATGCACAAGCCCAGCTCGACCGTAGTGTTACTGCGGCCTCGCCGTGATGTGTATGTGATATTGTATGTTTGTGATCGTAGCCATGATGTCGGACAAAATTCCTATATGGGGGAAATGTCTTACTAACACTCACAACCCTCAAAATTGCGAAAACCATAAAATGAACTAGTAATTGGTGTCCTGTATTTCATGCCATATTATCATGAAGGATCTAAAGCAAAGACAGTTTCTTTTTCGAGCGAAACCACGGTGCCAAACTAGTACATCCCTATAATCCGCTTACAGACCCGCTTAAGCTTAAAACAAGGATTTTGTACCTGTTACATTACTGTTTTCTGCTTGATTGCAAGCTTTCACAATAACTCATTTTCGTGAAAGCATTGCAGGCTGTAATAGTGTTTTCAGGTTGCGCCTCATTGTCGTAACATTAATCTTTGAACGCTACTGTTTCACAGGGTACAGATCATTTCAAGTATTTCCATACGAAACTAGCTACGAACAAGGGTTGCTCAATGTCTTTTAGACTGTATAGGAAAAGTAACACACTATATTCAAGAAAAAATTGTAACCGATACGACCCGCACACACTTTTTTTTTTCAGTGGAAAATCATCCAATGACTTCTCCCGCCCAGGGTAAGGCGAGAGAGAGTGTCAGACTCTTACTGACTAAAAACCCCCCGTTCCTTCTCCTGCTCTAGGCCGAGGTCACGGTGCCTCATTGCGCTTACCCAGCAGCCCCGGCTAAACATCAGCCCTATTGGGCTCCGACTGTGGTGGTCTATTGGCTCTTTGAGGCGCTCGCGGAACGCTACGCGCCGTACGCTCGGGTCCGGTTCTGGTCGGGCGGCGCGCTACCCTTACTCGCCGTCCGCAGACCCGCGCTTACGGTGGCCGGAGATCATCTCTCGATCCCCGACGTCCGGAATGTCGCCTTCTGCGGCGGCTGGGGCGCGAGGAGGATAGTTCCCTCACGCGCTCCGCCTCCTCCTTTGCGAGCATAACTGCTTCGCAGAAGGAGGAGATAGCTTCCCAGTTCCTCTCACGCTGCACCATGGCCTTGATTAAGGCCGGGCGCGAGAGGTCGCCGCCGCCGATCACTTCCCTGAGAACACGGCTGTGCTCAGCCCAAGCAGGGCACTCCGCCACCGTATGCTCCACCGTGTCCTACCCGCACACACTCTTAAAAGCTGATTATGACTCTTCTGGTGTTGTCCGTGGGCAGCGTTTGCCTGCCATTAAGTACACAAAAAAAGTCTTACAAATTTTAAGTCTTAAATATAAACCTTACCTATTCAATTCGGAGGGGATCAAGTCCTCCTACCACGGGTTACGTATTGTGCAATTAATATATAAATGAGTTTTCGTAATAGTTACGCTCACGAATAAAAAAGGCATTTTGTCCTTCTAAATTTCGGTTTCCTTTGAGGCGGAAACCATCAAATTATTTACCACTTAAAACTAACATAATGTGATATGATATGGCTTTGTCACAAATATTTATTGCGTATCAGGTATTTCGAGAATTCATTGGGATATACGTGATGAAATTGGGCCGTATTCGACTAATTTCCTTAACAACTGTATTTGTTAATTGTTAAAGTAAATTCAGATGTCCATTATTTTTATTAATATCCTCACGGTAACATGTATTCTCACTATAGAGTAATTAAACAATGTCGAAACCTTTTACCTATTAATTTCAAGAATTTGCTTTTAAAGATATTTATTAAATTGTCATCACCATGCGCTCTAAATTGCATGTGTGCAACTGTAATCATCTGCCGTATAACTGCTCACTGCTGAGCAAAAGCCCCTTCTCGCACGGATAAGGAAATCTTGCTCAAGGTGGATTGGCGATTTCAAACTTTTATTACTACTCCACGTTTCCTCAGGATTTTGTCACCGTTCGTTATTGGTGCCTAAATAAACTTAGAAAGTACTTAGATAACCTTACTTGGAGAATATAGCCCTTATCCTCATTCAAGAGAAGTGGGTGTGTTCCGCTGGCGGAAGCTAGTAGCTTATTTCCAAGCCGACCCGGCGAACTTTAAACCGTTTTAAATAGTATAAATTTTTGTTCCATGTCAAATATGAAATGTGCTTTAAGTCAACAGTTTACATGGGAAAGAAAATTCATGTGTTCACTCAATGTAAAGACACTATTGACCAGTTGACACTTTATTGAGTACATATGTACACGTAAATGGAACAATAGTAAACAATGCGGTAGTTTCCAACTTGTTAAATTAAATTGTTTTATATTCAATAATGCTTCAATAATTTTGTTGTAAAAAACGATACTTTCCTACGAAATGCCAAATCCATATGTGCGTATAAGTTGCAAGGCATAGCAAAAGTTCTTTAAATAAAATACTGTGTTACAATTACATATTATTTAAAATTGTTATATTTTGAGAATGATCGACTATGAAAATCCAATTATGAGTATTTATAAATTTATTTCGTCGAACCTCTCGACCCGAACAGTGAGGTCAACCGAGTTAACCTAGATGTGTCTGAGGCTGTTAATTAGCCGATCTCTAAGCGTCTGATTCTTCACTATCATTAGCCTTTTTGTTAATATCTATACACCTTTTTTCGATGGGGAACGTTATCCAATGGGTTCTTTTGGGCGAGATGGAGTGTCAGACTCTCACTGAATAAAAACTACTCCGTTCCTTCTCCTGCTATGAGTTAGCTTATAGTACATCATTGAACTTGAATCCACAACACCGCTGGTATAGATATACCTTATAGACTCTATGATATAGAGTAGAAGTACAAGTAAACCTCTCTATAATATAGAGAGATTTACTTCGCCAGAAGCTATATACAAGTACCTACTTACCCATTGATAAGGCTCATATTTTAGTTGTAAAATATTCAAATACGATTTTTGCGGTGTGCACTAAAATATCACGCATTACTGCACCTTATTGATTTTATAACTTCGAACTTTTCATACAGATCGATTTGTGGGAGACTTTTAGTAAATCAATCGTCTTTTCGTGACGCAGGTTTTTTTAAATCCTTAGAAATTCTAAGCTCGGAAGTTGAACTGATTTAGATGGTACCTAAAGTATATCAGACGCCTACTGACTACCACAACCATTCCGTTTTTTTCTCCTTCTCCAGGACAAGGCTGCGGTCCCTTATTGCGCTTGCCTAGCTTGGCTGAAATTATGCTAGCTCCTACAGAAATTAATAATACTGTTGCAGGCGTATCAAGAGTTTTCGTTTGAGGAGCTCCGGTTGGCGAGTGAGTCTTGGAGTGACGGTGGTGCAGTGGGCGGTGCATTCGTGCATAGCGGTCGCATTCCGGCCGAACGTCTGCCCGTCCGAGAGAACCCGGACGGGTCTTATGTAGCCACCTGGATCCCCAGAACAGCTGGGGCTTACGTCTTCAGATGCACCCTCGATGACTTGCCAGCTTCACAGGTATGGAATAATAAGATTAAAGTTTCAATAGAGTGACAATTAGCTTTTCACTTAATCAATAGTTTTCTTTTGTTAGACATAAATGCATTTGGTCCTGTTTCGTATTTTGACATTCATTTAATGTTTGTAGAGATTGAGTCCTGTTTTTAACGGCAATACAGATTTCTCTTTGTTTTAATTCGCAATGTTTCGTCACATATAAGGTTTTATACACATTACACCGGAACTACAGACCAATTTTTAGTAAATAGGGTAGGGGAATAGCAATTCGTAAAAGTGAAATAATTATTGTGGGATATGGTAAATTGATTGTCGAACAATGGTTGCAGGAAGTGACAATAGAAGTGGCGGAGAGCATGATGGAGCCAGCTGAGCGTGGATGTCAGGCTGGGGGCGTGCTCCCCACCACGCCGCCGACTAAGCTGCGACGTTTCATTGCGCGGTTCAGCGCTGGCCTCCGAGTCAGGGCAAGCCCCAGTCTCCAGGCCGAGGAATTAGGCCGAATACCTGCCGGCGCCAACATTGCATTCGTTGAAGAAGTGAGTCTTATTACCATTAACTTGGAATACAAATGTTTGATAAGTAAATAATAATTATGTTCTGATGCACATCCAAGTGCTCATCAAATAGAAATATCAATTGAAATATAAATCTATGAGCTTCTGATAAAGTTCAATATACAGTAAACGGCAATTTGATGTGATTGATGTATGTGTACACGTATAGGTGTTAGTCAGGTACAAAAGTGTTTATTATTTAGAAGTAAATGTTTGGTACATTTTGACTGAACAGAAACCTTTATAACCTTTTTTCGAACGAAAAGTTTACTTAATATCATGCTATTGCATTAGTTACAAAACATTATCGTTTGAGTCGCACACGTCGCGACTACGCGTCTGGTTTTGATCGAGTCGGCAGAAAAAATGGCAGCTGCGAAATACATATTGGGGTCTTAGAACTTTGCCAACTTTCACGGGACAAAGGCGTAATGCTGATAGGATAGGAGTACAAAGGTTATATTCTGTTTATTGAAAGATGACGTCAGATTCGTCTGTTCTTTTGTTAGTCACTTACTCTATAGTGGATTCATTGCTCATAACTCGATCATTTTAACAGAGCCTTTATTTCGTAGACGGGTAAACAAAGAATTTGCCAATACATTATGTCTACCTAGGTATCGCCAAATTCTCACCAATATAGGTAGGAGTCTAGTGTCAGTGTGTCAGTATGGTAGGATGACCTAGTTTTGTCATCCAGGTAGTTTTTATGAAAACTTCCTGAAAAGGAATCTTTTACGAATAGAATTTAATCAAAATCCTTGTAGCCTTTTCCGAGATCCTGTGAATATGTACATAAACATATCAAATACATACGTGTGACAAGAAGTGATGACATATATTTTTTAATGCTGACATTAATTACTGTTTCCAAGTTGCAAAAATAAATGATATATTTCAATAGTAGCTAAGTCATACACAGCTCATATTACCATAGGTATATCAACTTAAAATTCAGATTATTGGAAAACTTTATTATATTTTGCTTGACCCGGTTATAGAATTGAAACGACATTGTTTCCTCACAGGTGGTGAACAAGGATGGCACGTGGGTGCGTCTTAGTGCGGAGTCTGTGCGCGCTTATACTGACGAGCTTACAGAGGTGGCGTGGTGCATACAACATCATCGTCATCTAGATAGGGCTCTGCTGGTACCCGTAGAACCGACCACGCCTCTACCGTCTCAGGTAATTTTGTTTTTAGTCAACTATCGCCTACTCGGTACGGGAGAGCCATGCTTTGACACGAAATGAATCGGGTCGTCCGCAGTGATACCACGGCCTCATTGAATACCGGCGTGATGCAACACTTATAGTTCGTTCCATAATTAGAGACAACGATTTGACATTTCGAGTGTTGCATGTTTTTTCCATTTCATAAATAGTGAAGTCCCGCGACCGGTATTGACCGAAAGACCGAAATTAAACCGGACTTCGTGCATTTTAAAAGCTTTATTATTTTAAGCTACTTTCCCTGGTACCTTCCTTTGCCCATACTAACTCAGTCGGGTTAAAATCACAATGGTAAGGAGGCAACCGTAAAATAGTAACCCACCTTTTAGCAGCCATCAGTCCACGACGTATGGTTCATAATTACTCTTCTATTTCCGGGAAATCTCCAACAGTTCGGCTTCCAGCATAGGTTCCTCAAATATAATGTTTTTCTTTTAGCCAGTCTTAGATTTGGCATTTTTATTTTAAATTATTATTATTAATTCCACTAAACAATAAAAAATCACCGCAACGTTGTTTTATTTTGCTCAGGGTATTTTATAAAAAACCGGTATCGGTATTTTATTTAAAATATCGTACTCGGGCCCATCACTATGATAAAAAATCTGGCCACATTATTTTGTAGTTTGACATTTGCTGTTGTCAAATTGTTGTCTCTAATTATGGAACGAAGTATAGATACGTTTTGTTTCGCAACGTTGCGAGTGAGGTTATGCGCTTTAATAAAAAAAACTGTCGATTTCGCTAATTCCAAAAAAGTTTTAAATGCCAACCCAATTGATGATAACAGTTGCGTTCGAAAATCGAATTATTTTAAATTTTAAATTTTGACGTTTTAATAATTTGGATTCGTTCTTTATTTTCAGGACGAATGTTCTGGTATATGGGGCGGCTATGGCGAAGCCAGAGAAGATCTACAACTATGGGCGCAAGACGATGATGACAGCGCGTTGACTGGTAAGTATTGGGCCTTATCATTGTCTGTTTCCATCATGATCTGTAAGGGCCGCCGATGATTGCGATTTTTTGTAACTGTGCGTGTCATTAATTGTCAATGAAATAGAAAAAACAAAAATAATCTCTAGTGAGCAGACTGACTCTAGTATGTGATATACATAGAGATTCGCTGACAGTCACTCTACAAATTGTCACGTCACCGCAGTGAGTGCACTTTTCCCTATGTTATAGTGATAATAAGTCAAGGAGGCCAAATACGTACAACAATTAGCAGCAAAATATGTACAACGGGATCTCCCAGTAAATAGTGTTCTCGGTAAAGATTATTACGTTTTTTATTCGTATACGAGACTTTTAAAAGGCATATGTACAGATTGGCCGAATGTATGTAGGTAGCTAGATTTTTGACCATTTGGAATATCTAAAACTAGCCAGTCTTCAAAGAAATCTGATCGATTTGTTTTGTAATGTGTCATATTAACTGTGCAAGGTCAATTATTGTATTATAGAAATTGGATATCTTACATTTAGTCAATTTAATAGCAACTAGCTTCATTGACGAAGGTACTGACAGACTTATTCAGTTTGACGTGTTGAAAGAACCTATTTAGGGATGGATCGAATAAATTATTTATTCAACTGATTAAAATCGACAATATTTATTGAAATAGTGTGTAGTGACGTCATAATGATTTTGCGTCGGTTAATGAATGGACGAGCACTGATTTATTGTATATTGCTTGTGAAAATATGCCAAATTATTTAATTTCCTTACAGATATAACGTGCATTGACGACAGAGCCTTCCCGTACGGACAAATACAGGTAAAAAGTGAAGTTTTTATCCAGACTTATCCTATATATAAAAATAGAAAAAATAGCTTTTCCTTAGTCGGGCTAAAATACATTACCTACGCGACTGACTTAATTAATTTTTGTCTTACACTCATACCACTACTGTCGAAATAATATGTAGGTTTCAAATGTCAGAAAACAAATGCAAGAAATTGTAAAACATGTGAGTGTAATTTCATAATCATTAAGTACCTATTAATAGATATTCGACAAATAACAAAACTGTAATTATAGAACTACTAGCTACTCTCTCGCGGTTTAATCCGCTTCTCCGCTCCATTTAATTGTAGCGTGATGTTTATAGCCTATAGCACTCAGGAACATTGTAGCTATCTATGAGTAAAAGAATTTTGTCCTGATATGCATATTGTACTTACATATAAAATATTGTTCTAGGCTGATGGCAGCCCGTTCATGTTGCCCGGCTCGTCGGAGCCCAGCAAGCGCAGTCGCAGCCTCCGAGGAGAAATAAGCTCCACCTCGTCTGCTGCTTCATCGCCTAAGTACTTAGCATATTATTTAATTTTTTTATGTGATAGGTCGGTAAACTAGCTAACTGTTTACCGACCCGCAACAGGAGTAACGAGTGCGTTGCCGACCTAACGTCACTCACACGGCGAAACACAACACTGTGATTGTTTTGCTCCGGTTTTCTGTGAGGCCGTGGTATCACTCCGGTCGAGCGGACCCATTCGTGTAGAAGCATGGATACTTAGTACCAGAAAGAGTATTAAGTAGGTGCACAGAAAACGAGTATAATTCGGTAAACGAGCAGACGTATTACCTGATGGTAAGCAATCGGCGCCGGCCATGGACACCCGCAACATCAAAGGAGTTACGAGTGCGTTGCCGGCCTTTTAGGGATAGGGGTTGCGAATATAAGGATCGGGAAGGGATAGGGGGAGGGGCGGGATTGGGCCTCCGGTGTTTCGCACCGGTTTTCTGTGTTTACATGGTTCCATGATGGTAAGCAATGGCGCTGCCAATGGACACCCGTAACTCCAAAAGGAATGACAATTTACAAAAAATATAGGAGTTGTCGGCCTTTTAGGTATTAGGATTTCGGAGATGAAAATTGGGGAGGGACTCATGACCATGGAGGGACCATGTTATGCCAGTTCTCCAAACTGGAGCCCATTTAGTATTTGAGTAACCGTATTCTGCTCAGTTTGACGGATATTTAGCTAGTGTTGTACATATCTAAGGCTGCGCGCAAGTACACACGCGACCTGATGAACTGCGCAAGGTTAACGATCGCACAGGGTTTACTGTTTACTGTTCCGATATTGATTGACTATTTCTCGGACAGTAATGTCATAGTTAGTAACAACACCGTCCGAAGATGTCTAGACAGGGCAAGGGGTGCGAGGGGCTAGACGGGGGGAAGCAGCTTCCAAAATTGAGAACAAAGTAACTTTTGACAAGGAACTGCTTCGTTCATTCTGTTGTCGTAAGTGCGACTGCCGAGCTAAGGAAGTGGGGCTCGATTCCCGGATCATGTATAACATCATTGGAGCTTTTTGGGGCTTTAGAAAATGTTAAAGTAGTGACCCGGAAATCCCAAAAGTCTATATAATAAGCCTCTAAATTTTTCGAAAGAAGATTAGTTGCGAAAAGATTTTGTTTTAAATTCTGGCTCAATTCCCAATTTAATATCTAAGTTCCCTTTGGTCGCCAAATCTTTGAGATTTCCAAAACAAATACTCTCCTATGTCCTATGTGAGCCTGTCGTGGAACATCTCAACCAGTTAGTTATACGGTAGTTTCCAACTAGTCAAATTATCCAAATGTCAAAAATGATACTTTTATATGAACTTTGTATAAAATGCTAAGTTATGATTTATTATTAATTTCTTACTAGAATATGTATCGATCGACCGATGAATAAAAGTATAGTTATTTTTCAATATATTATTGTATTAAAATGTTGAATTAATTTATTTTTGCCCTAGGAAACTACCCAATTATATCGTATTTTACTTGTTAGAAAAATACACAGAAAAATGTAATTTTACGTGGACGTGTACGGTGTAATTTGAATAATGTGTTATTTTTCAAGCAGTTAGTGTATCCTTTTTCACGACAGCAAGTGTAATGTGTGTATATTATTTCAGAAGGTCACAACGTCGCAGCAATGGAAACGCCGACGAATGGTGGTCTCCACTCAGGCAGCGATTCGGAGATAATACTGATATCAATGCTATACAGGAGGTTAGTATTACCAATACAAGTTTGTTATAAGTAAATTAAAAGAAAAAGAATAAATGCTTGGATCTTTCAAGATTATTTTATGTAAGGTTAATAAATTCAGGATCTTGTAGCTTTTGGGAGACTTCATCGTCATTACATAGTATAAAACAAAGTTGCTTTCTCTGTCCCTGTATCCGTGTTTATGCCTAAATCTTTAAAACTACGCAACGGAATTTGATGCGTTTTTTTTTCAATAGATAGAGTGATTGAGAAGTTTTATAAATATGAGAGAGTATCTAGCCTTCTTATATATGTATATAGAAATGAATTGTTGTTTATTAGTCTAAAACTCTAGAAAGGCTGGTTCGATTTGACTAATTTTGAAATATTTGTAGAAGTACACTTAAAGTTTAAAATGTCAGAAGATATTAATACAAATGAGGCGGCACGGAGATCGTCAGGTTAGCTAAATATATGTGTAATTTTATTCGAACAAACTTACTAGCTTCCTTAGAGGGCTGACCGATTGACTAACTCTTTTTCACTTGTTTTGGTATTCGTTCAAAAGTACGTATAACAGTCAAATTAAAATAAATGATTTGAGTTTGAGTTGAATTTACGATTTTAGTTGAATATTATACTGTAGGGTTCTCTCCCTCTGCAAATGGTGTTTCATATTGATTTTCTATGGCGACAATTTGGTTATTTAGCGTTAGAATTATGTATCACTTTTCTATTCCAAAGATAAAAAAGTGCATGTAAGGGCACAACTCAACAAGGCCTGCACAAATTTCTCCTATACTTTTTGTGGTAGTTGTTATTGAGAAGGTAAGGTACCCGTTATTGAGTCTAAAGTCAAAGTCAAAATCATTTATTCCAACTAAACCATAAATAAGTATTTTTAAAACGTCAAAATAGAAAAGTAGTCTGTCAGTCTGTTCGTCATTCTCAGAAGGGAACCTTCTCAACTACGCCTACTTCAAATTATAAATAATAGAAAAAAAAAACAAAATTAAAGCCGATATGTACACTCGCCTGCAGGAGTGGGCGGTTGTTATAATAAGAAGTAATAATAATACAGACCAAATAAGTTGTTTATGAATGACCAGAAGGAAATTATGATATACCTAAAATTGATTTGAGGTTTTATTGTGAAAACCGCAAAGCGTAAATAAGACACACGACACTGCCATAACATTTATATTGTAATATTACTCAAACGACGTCAAACATTGATTTGCTAGCGAAGCGTTAAAAAGAAGTCTTTACTGGGTACTACATAACTACTTAGTACTTGTCTCAACCTCCACATAAGTACCTAATAAACTTATGTTTCAGGTAGTTCATACAAATTACGGTTTCACATTAAAATTTATCTGATGCATTGTGGGTATCGTATTCGAAACCTGGCAAGTACCAATGTGACTTTTTCCCAGTTATATGTACTTTCTATGATTATTTAGACACCACTGGCATACGGTGAAGGTAAACATCGTGAGGAAACCTGTGGACTTATAATCTCTAATTATAAGTTTGAAATCGCCAACCCGCATTGAGCAAGCGTGGTGATTAATGCTCTAGCCTTCTCCGTATGAGAAGAGGCCTTTGCTCAGCAGTGGGCACTTATAGGCTGATGATGATGGGTATCAAGAAATTTCGTAGTAAAAAATATTTCAATGCAATGAAAAACACATATGTATATTGAATAGTACGTCGCATTTTAATTAATTGGTTTTATTTTAATTCTTAAACTCGGTACAAAAATCAGTACACGCGGACTTACCAGTCGAACTTGTTATTTTAAAATTGCAGGTAACTTTGATAGCGAATTATTAAATTAAATATTAAAACAAAACAATATTACTTATAAAAAAACCTTTACTTATGTTGTTGTTAAGTGGCCAAAATAAGAAGTTGGTCCAGGATTAGTATCAAAATCCTTTTTTGGCCTATTGTGTGCCCCTCTGCTGGGCAAAGGCCTCCCCTTTTTCCTTCCAAACTTCTCTGTCTATTCGTTAGAGCGATCTCTGGCCAAGTTTGCCCCACGAACATGATGAGATCGTCACACCTTCGTCGTGGTCGAACTCGACGGCGTCGACCTCTTTCAGGTGTCCAGTGAGTGACAACCCTCGCCCATCTGTCCGGGTGCATTCGTGCGACATGGCCAGCCCCCTCCCGCTTCAGCCTTCAAAATGCTTAGTGCTTATATATTATTATATTATATTCTATATTTACATAGTTATTATAGCATGCTATTTAATAGTAGATATAATACATATCAATTACAAATATAAAACACATATCGTTATGTCAAATCATAAACGACGAAAATTCAATTAAAACATTGCACTGCGCACACGCAGCGTCGGCCATACCTACATTTGTCATTGGTTGTCCTTGGTCTATGGCATCGCGGTCGGTGCCGGCGCATCACGGCTCACCTTTCACCTATTTCAATATTTTATTAACCAGTTGTAATCTATCTTAGACGCCGGACACTCGCTCGCTTCCGCTTGAGCCTATGTGTTTACCCGCGCTTAATAAAAATATTATATTAGGTACATATATTACGAACTTCATTATGCCGCATAATTATCCTCGCTTGCGCTTATGGTAAGGCCCTATTTTTTTTTCATAAAGATCGAGTAAATTATTTGTTATTGTTTTTACAATAGAACATGAACTAAGAGTCAAAATATTAAAAAATATTTTGTAGATATATGTACAAATTTTTCCATATGTTTTTTTGCATTTAATCTTACCTTTTGCGAAGGAGCTAATTGAGTGTTTTAACTTTTATTATCTTTTAATGGACTTAATGTAAAGTGTGATTTGTAGATTTATTACTTACGTTTTTTATTAAATTGGTTCTTCGCCCGTAATAAACACATGTGAAACTTGTGTGTCACATGTTTTTGTAAAAATGTGTCTTGATGTTATTAAATTATTTTTTATGTCGATATCAAACTTATGTTAAATAAGCTTACTAGATAAATATGTTTTGTCGCAAACTATTGAAATAAATGTTATATTTTATACAATTACTGAGAATATTATTATCATCTTTTTGTAAGAAAAATTTTTGAGCTACCCTCAATCCACCATTAGTACGTATTACGCACTCAACGCGTGATGGTAGCATTATCTGAGATCGCCATATTGTTTTATGTTGATAGTAGGTAATTGTCTTTCTTTGGGATTGTTCAAGTTCACGTTTATTTCTGATTAATTTACTTCATTCTTATAATTTTATATGTACTTAGTATTTTTTATTGTATTCAAAATTGTGCTTATTACGCATGACGGTGAGTGCAAAAAACTAGTGCAGGTTTACAGCCTGCGAGCCCAAGCCAGGCTACATTGTCATTTAATATTTTCTGTTTATGTGCGTGCCTTGCTTTTTTATAAAACGATTTTTCGTTCTATTTGTTATAGGTTTACTAAGTCCACACTTCTACGTAAAATTGTATAGGTAACATGATTATGATACGTAAATTGATGCTATAAACTTATTATAATTGATGACATAATATATTACTTTGTAACAATGATAGACGTATAGTGTTAAATAAATATAAATGAATAAATACGATTTTCTTCACATATCTTGTTTTTATAAAAAACACTTTTCAATGTGTAACTAAAAGACCGTTAGGATAAATTCTAAAACAAAAATAGTTTTTCTTTTATGTGATAAATAAACAAGCAGATTGATTACCTGATGGAAAGCAATCAGCGCCGCCCATGGACACCCACAATGACCTACAGGTGTTACGAATGCGTTGTCCAACTTTTGAGGATTAGGATTTTGGAGAATTAGTTAGTTATAGGGGAAGGGGAAGGTATCACTTATACAATCTATAGTGAATCAACTTTTTCTAACAATTCTGTTATTGTTTTGTCTATTTGCTCGTTACAGACGGATATTGAACCGGAGCCCCTACTGGTGGAGACTCGCACCAGTCGGGTCGCTCAGACGGGCACACAGACATCACCCGACAGAAGCGATAGTGTGTGTACCACTATGCAACTGTATATGGGACCTTCCAAATTAAATGTATGTATCCTGTTTAATATAACAATGATACATATTACATCTATATTCTAAGATCATGTTCGATTCTAAACTTAAGGAGTTACTGAGTATTTGAGATTTTTAATTAAATAAAGATTGATTTAGATTTGACCCGTTTAAATGAATGTTACCTAATAAGCATATTTATTCAGGTATTTAAATGTTACTTCGTTAAAAATTTAATGCGTCATCAAAATACTCGTTAATAAACAGCTTGGCCAGTCACTAATGTAGTACAAGAAAATACATACTTTGAAAGTTTCTGATTTTTTTTTACTAGAACAAAAAAAAATCAAATTAGTTTAGCGGACCCAGATAACACAGAAGAAAGAAATGAAATGTTATTATTAATTTCCTAGCAACAGGATCTCCCTGGCCGTCTAAGCCCAAAGGCAGTACCACGAGATCGGGCCTCGAGTCGCGCTCGCGCCTACAAGCGAACATCATCACCACCCCCGCTGCCAACTCGGTCGGCGCCGGCGCCGCCTCCGCCAAGAAAACATGCGCTAAGTCCTGCGCAAGCTGAGTGCTTGCGAGCAGTTTTCGCCGCTCTGCTGTGGCATGAAGGTAGTTTTCCTTGTATTAGCTATTTTAAAAGAAATAAGGATTTTAGTACCCATATAGTGCCGTTTGCTCATGTCAGTTGGGCCATTATCATCGTTAGGCCATTCGTGCTAATGGGTGCAAATAATAAATTTTATTTATTGCATAATCACACAGTTCTAATTGTCTACACACATATCTAAAAATAACACTACATATTCTAATACTAGTGACTGTTATTATATGTAGTATAAATTTATTAGTTTTAGAGATCTGCCTCGCTGTCAATCTATATAGCCTGAAGCTAGTCTATCTTCTATCTATATAAGTATATATAAAAATGGATCGCAAAATGTGTTGGTAAGCGCATAACTCGATAACGGCTGGACTAATTTTGCTAATTCTTATTTTGTTATGTTTGTTATTGTCAGGAGATGGTTCTTATCAAAGAAAATATTAGAAAAGTAGAGGCGAAAATTGGGAAAAAGTGACCCTTTGATAGCGAGATAGTTGGACTCGTGCGCCGCGGGGGCGGGCCGCTAGTACATTTATAAATATTTAAGCAGAGAGCGATAACTTCAACTTAACAAAGTTTATTTTGTGTTCTCCTAGTAAACATGAGTCACTTTGTTGTGAAACTATTCTCATACTTAAACTTTATTTTAAGTAATAATGACTAAGTGGTTACACATTTCCTAGAATTATTTCCGCTGTTATCTCAATTACTCGCTATGTTCTAAGAATGATATTTTAATGTACGTAGCACGTTATTTTGAGTTCGTAGCTAGCTTATGCTGTTAGGTAGAATTTTAAACTGTCCAGTAAAGAATATTTTCACTGTTTGAAATTAGAAGTTTTCTTAGTTATCTTACAAACAGGTCTGCTACACACGGTTTTACTTCTATTGAGCCTTTTTATGGTGTGGACAAAACTAGATCTCATGTAAATTTCCTGAACAATAATATGACAACATAATATAATTACGCGGGTATTAACCCGAAAAGTAATTATTTAAGTACTTTAGAAAGCTTGAAGTTTCGAGTTGGTTGCAAGGGCCGTGGTCGCAAGTTGATTTTGATTTTACTTTTCGAGTTAATACCCGCGTAATTTATTATGTTAACATGAAACGCGAAAGTTTAAAGTTAATAATATGACAACGATCATTCAATACATCTCCAATTACAAAAGTATCAATGAAACATTATGTTACAGGCATAGTCCACGACGCCATAGCATGTGCAGCCTTCTTAAAGTTCCACCCGCAGTTACCCAAGCAGGGAGCCCGAGTTGTGACTCGACCAGCTCATGACGTCACTCCTGCACGACACCAGAGGCACTCCGTCGAAGTCTCTAATGCTGGTGAGTTTGTTATAACACCATTATCATTATAATCATCAGTGTATAATGGACAGTGTCGTGCAAAGGTCTCTTCACACATGGAGATGGTATGAGCTATATGTATCACTATACTTGCTCAAGGTGGATTAGCAATTTCGAACTATGATTAGAAATTATAACGATGTTTTCCTTCACCGTATGTCAGTGGTTACACATGTATTCTATCCTGCTATTGCCACACAAATTGTATATATTTTGCTTATAGTAAAGTAATTTATTCCAACTAAACCATAAATAGGTACGTTTGGAACGTCAAAATAAAATTGTAGTCTGTCAGTCTGTTTGATAGTGAAGGTAAGTGTTCGTTGAGGACAAAGCGACAGATAGTTGAACAGAATAGTTGAACTTTTTGTTTTTGTTTGACGTTCCAGTGCCTATAATGGTCTATTTGAAATTGACGTTTGAAACGATTTGGAGTTCGAGTAATAATAATTCTATATACAGTACCTTCAAAATCAAGGTGGATGTTGAAATAACCAGTTCATAAATGATTCCCAGGCCTGTACTTACGTATCCACCCTACGACGTTGGAGACATTGACACGCTCCGGCATCGAAGCTAGCACCAGTCGTATGCGCAAGGTGGACTTCGATACACCAATACGTGAAGAGGAGAACTTACCAGGCCCCAGTACTGAACCAGGTACGCAATAAAGCTTATATTTGTTTGACTTGCTTTTATATATTTATGGCTTGAAGTTAGGTTGAAATTAGTACTTATTATTTTATCTGGCAAACAACTGCATTCAATTATACACAGTATGAAGTTTTGTATGTGATACTTATAATACACATACATACAAACCAAAATTTTCACAGTCAATTTCAGATTGTAACTTTATTTCATAATGCTATTTAGTGAATATATTTTAAATATCTTGCACCTTTTTTGACATTCGACGTTAAAAGTTAAATATTGACAGTTTTCTTCCTGTTTAAGCATCCAAAGCACGTATAAAATAGTTTGATGGGAAAAAAATACTATTTAATTTTGAATAGGCAGTGAGTATTATTCACCTCAATTGCTGAAGACAGATTGGCGATTAGAAGCTTCTGTTTTCTGAAACTCAAGCGAATATTTGAATTTTTAATATTTATTTCCTCAGCGGGCTCCTCGCGTTACGTAGTCAACGTGCTGCCTCCTGCGATGCGTGCGCTTGTAGCGCTTTGGGATGCTCTCTACGATGCTGATCAACTCACATCAGCTACGGACAAGTCAGTTTTTTACACAATATTTAAATACACCATATAGCGTTAAAATATATAATAAATGATGTGAGCTTAATTGAATTTGTCCAATCTTGTAAATTGAGTTTTTTTTCGGTTTTTATCCTATATAGTTTATGTTCTAATAGCCGTCAATGTACAAATGTGGACTAAGCTTTAAAAGTAACATCGTTAAACGTAAACTCTATGATTGAAAAGCGCCGTTGATGTAATATTGATTAATAGATATAGTTTTTAATAGATACTGCAATTGTAAATCGAAAGAAAATAGCTTAAGGGATTTTTACCTTTTCCTGATAGGTTGAAGAAAGAAGAGAAGAACGAAAGCGATGAAGGGAAATCGTACAGCGGTATCCGCAAGAAGAGAGAGTGGAACACGAGGACAGGCAAGACACCTTACTCTGGTATGTACATTGTATAAGATGTACCGGGCGTTGGTTAATTTTTTTTCCATTTTGAAAATAAAATAAGTATTATGTGCCTCAAATTGACTCTGGTGGAGTGATTGCAATCCCTATTGCGGCTTAAATTAGCGAACCAAAAATCATTTCGCCATTAGAAGCAGTAGCATGTTACAGTTTAAAATAGCGTATTGTGCATATTTTTAAACACATTTAATACTTACCTATTTAGTAAGCTCAATTTTCTAGTATGTCTAAATATCATACTTATTAGATAGTCAAAATTAAACGAATATCAATATATTATTATCGTGGTATCAATAAACAAATTTTCCAATATTTTTTAATATCTTTCTGCAAAGAAGGGTTTGTTATTTATATTCATGCAGGGTAAAGCCCTCCCTTCCCTCCATCTACCCCTCTCTGCGTAAAGGTTTTTTTTTTTTTATTTATTTATTTATTTATTATAGGCTTCTCAACAATGAGTACACTATACTATATAATTTGTACATTTCAAACTTAATTCTAAGTGCCCCATTACTTATAGAGAAGCACAGCATGCACTATAATATTATGCGCAGGTATTAAAATAATTAATCGATTTTGAATAAATAATACATTATCAGAAAAGTTAAATTGAAGCTGAATTGATTACAAAAAATAAAATCTGAATTAGATACTTAACACACAAAATTAAATTAAAATTAAGTAAAACAGATTAGATTTTAAAAATTAAATTTAAAACAATTAAATTTGACTAATTGATTAGAGGTACCCATTAGATAGCAAGCGTGGCTCTTTTAATAGCATGTACAGAAGAGGTGAACAAGTCAATATCCGCTTCGTGCTCTTTGTAAGCAGTATACATTCGTGATAGTGGACAGTGTTGTCTCAAATTGGTGCGACATCTCGGCATGCAAAAAAGTTTCCTGTTAGAGCTTCTCGGCAGAATACGTGGCACATGGAATAAGACCCTACTGAGCAAGTCGGGACAGTTAAGAGAGCCCGTAACTAACTTCTTAAGAAAAACCAAATCGAGCATAACCCTGCGTCTCTCCAGCGACACCATCCCAAAATGCTTCAGTCGCTCATGGTACGATTTAAGCCTGTTTCCCATATTACTGGCATAAGTAAGATGCCACAGGAACCGCTTCTGCAGCCGCTCAATGCGTTTGATGTGAACCTTATATACAGGCGACCAAACCACACTGCAATACTCGAGATGGCTTCTTACCAGAGAATTGTACATAATTTTTTTGATGGCCGGTTTTTTGAAATTTTTACACTCTCTCATTACAAAACCAAGCATCTTGATGGATTTTAAAATAGTTTTGTCAATATGTTCGACAAAACTTAGCTTTTTATTGAACTGTACACCTAGATCTCGTATTGTTTCAACATCAATAAGTCGCTCACCATTAATTTCGTATGCTGACTGCAAGATATTTTTATTTTTTGAAAATTTTATGTGTTGACATTTTCTAACATTTAGTGACATTTTATTGTGTTCACACCACTCTGTCAACCGGTCCAAGTCGCTTTGCAATAATGCCGGATCCGCAGGGCTTCTTATAGACCTCATGACTTTTAGATCATCGGCGAACAAGAATATCATCGAGTTTGAGAAGCATTTGTAAATGTCATTTATGAACAGAGTAAATAAATGCGGACCCAAATGAGAACCCTGGGGTATTCCGGAAGTTGCAATGTACGATTTTGAAGAACAGCCATCTATCACAACCCTGAGCGTCCGACCAGACAAATATGATTGGACCCAACTCAGAAGAGGGTCTGAAACGCCATACCTTTTAAGCTTCATGACGAGTATGTCATGATCTACTACGTCAAAGGCCTTGCTAAAGTCGGTGTAGACTGCATCAACTTGGACACGCGTATCAACCTCCTCCACAATGCCTTCAACATAGGACACCAAATTGGTAGCTGTCGATTTTCCCTTCATAAATCCGTGTTGGTTGTATATTATTAGCTGTGATAAATGTCTAACAAGCACAGGGCATATAAGAGCTTCAAATACCTTAGCCAGAGTGGAGAGAATGGCGATAGGCCTATAATTGCCCACATCGGACTGATCCCCGTTTTTGAAAATTGGCACAATTTTGGTTTGCTTCCAAATAGTCGGAAAGCTACCCCGCAGCAGAGAATAATTAAATAATATGGTTAATGGCAATGATAGAATATCTGCCAACTTATTTAAAAGCAGAGCAGGTATGCCATCAGGGCCTGCTCCCTTGTATATATCCAATTTTTTTAATTCTTTGCGGATCTGATCTTGTGGGATAGTTATTTGGCCTAACATGCTATTTCTTATGCAGCTATCCGTGTCAGCATGTGCGGTCGCATGGACACCATTTCCAACAGTACCATACACCTTTGAAAAATGAGAGGCAAAATAATTACAAATTTCATTTATGTTGTCAGAGGTGTTTATACCATCTGTCATGGAACTGGGGTAGTTACTGGTACCGCCTCTCTTCATTTTTAGGTAGCTCCAAAAATATTTTGGGTTGGACGTGATTTTTTCCTCCATATCAGCAATATGAGTAGTATAGCAAGTCGTGGCCATATGGTCGCATCTTTTCCTAAGAACATCTAGTTCAATAATGTCCAGTGGATTATTATACTTTTTAACTTTAAGCCGTAAGCGGTTCTTCTCATTTAGTCTTTTAATAAGCTGCCTAGAGAACCAGTACGGATATTTAGTGGATTTTATTGGTACTTTTGGAACGTAGCGTTCAATTAACCCATACAGTAAATTATAAAAAATATCTACCATCTGATCTACAGTCATACAAGGATCAAACTCTGATGGCCAATCGACTTGCTCCAGTGCCTCGCCAATCGCCACGTAATCTGCCCTATGATAGTTTAGCTTAGTTCTATTATTACAATAGCGTGGATTTTTGAAATGGGTAAATGAGAGCTCACATAGTATAGGTGGATGGTGCACATCTAGTTTCGAAAGTACATCTGTTGGTGCACTTACTGCAACATGATCCAAGTTAGTTAGGACCAGATCAAGAATTCTATTATTTTGATTACACAAATAATTACATTGTCTTAAGTTATTGAGCAAGACAAAGTCCCAAAGAGTTCGTTCTAAATTTGTACAAGTGTTTTGTGGAGCTCTTATCACATCACCACCCATTCCAAGCCAGTTAATAGTGTTCATGTTAAAGTCACCAATAATCAAGCATTCATTGACGTGTTCTAACACTTTGTTAGTATTATCAACAAAATGTTCAAGTACTCTAGGCTGTAACGGCGACGGTAAGTATACAGTGCAAATATAAATCTCTTTGGCTTTCTTACCCTCTATATGTGACAACTTGACCCAGAGATCATCGCACGAACTTTCAAATTTTATCAATCTCTGTGATTCTATTTTAGTGGACACTGCAATAAGAACGCCACCTCCGTCTGTTTTATCATTCAATATATTACGGGATCTATCACGCCTGTAAATAGAATAACGACTGTCCATGATCTCCGAGTCAAAGATACCATCTAGTAACCAAGTTTCTGTTAACAATATTACATCATATGAACAGCATGCAACTTTTTGGTAAATTTCACCCAATTTAGTCCTGATACCCCTTACATTCTGGTAGTATATTTTTAACTCATCGAATTTAAAACTATAACAGTCCTATACCTTATCCAATGCTTTTTTTTTTATTGTAAACTGTCCAACGATTCGGTGTCTCTGATATATTTATAGTCTGCACCATCATGTTTTCTAACAAAAATCTTACCGCCACGAACCCACACATACTTGTAGCCCAAAGTCTTCGCTTTAATCCTGGTCGCAGCATGCAGCGCCTTATTTGCCGGTGATAAATGTTCAACTATATAGACATTTTCCTTTCTACCGGCAATCCCAAGAAGCGCCGTGTTGAGCTTCTCCTCAGAAGGTTTGTTTTTATTAAAGTTGATGGAAGCCGCCAGGAAGTTGTCACGGACCCGGGGGCTGCTGAACTGAACGACGATAGACTTTGGTCGGTTATTCGCTGGGCTTTGCTTTGCAATTCTTGTGACATGATGAATGTTACTCTCATTTATGTCGCCAGATATCACCTTACTAATATTCAAGACAGTTGACACAAGATTTTCATTGTTGTGCTCCGGTAGACATTGAATTTCCACATTTGTAGAACGTGCTTGTTGTTCCATCTGAGTTAACCTCATACCTAAGTCTTTAACAGTGGTTTTGAGTTGCTCATTTTCCTTTTTTAGTTCGTTCACGAGTTTGGTGTTTAAGGAAAACTCGGTCTTCATTTCCTCAAACTTTACATTCATAAATTCAATTGATGAATTTACCCCTTCTAATTTGTCCGTTATCGCCTTCATCTGAGTGTTAACATAGTTCGCCAAAGTTTGGTTGAGATGGCGCATCAGTTCGTCGATCTGGTTTTTCATAATACGCGAGACTTCGCCAGAAGTAACAGGAGCTACATCGTCGAGGATAGTTACCGAAGGCTCTTTCTTTCTAAGTGTTACATTAGGATCACTTGCCTGACTGTTGCGTACCGGAGTACTATCAGCGTTTCGCTTCTTTGGTTTGCAGGACGGACACACCCAGTTATGCATTTCAGCTAGTTGGGGGTCACAACCCAGCTGCGTGAGACAGGAATGGTGGTAGGGTTTTAGGCACGACGAGCATTTAACTGCGGCACTTCCTTCAGCTATATTTTCTGAGCAGCAGTCGCAATTCATAGTGAACGACTTTGTTATGGAGTCGCACAAAGTTAAAATACCGATATTCCCGTGCACACTAATAAATCGCACGCTAATAAAGGCCCGCGCTCGGCAATGTTGTGTCGATGCGTAAGTCGGCGAGAAGAACGTCGTAAGCGCCGTGGATACCGCGTCACTTACGCGTTGCGCCCGTGGAGTTGTCTCTCGATGATTTTTTTAAGTTAGTGGCGGTATAACAAAATCTCTGGTGAACTGATTTTGCTTATTACTTAATTATGATGACTTTTTATCCCAAAATATATATAGTAACATAAATGTATTGTACTTGGTGCTAACAGTTTCTATAAGGATCACTACACAGCACTCACTATTTTACGGGTTTTTAATTTATTTAGACGGAACAAACCAACGTAGGTATCACTCGCGCACCGCTCACGGAATGTGATTTCGTGTTGATAGTTTGTTATTTTATGCAGTTCAATGCGATTTATGCGGTGGGTCCAACGTGCCGCCCCCATTAGCGGCTCACATGAGAACAAGTCACCCGGGCTGTAAGAACCCAACCACTAAGGGTTTCGACCGGACTGGCACCTACCAGCTGACCAACCCGCAACCAGGACAAGAGCTGCCCCCCACCTCGTACTGCGGACAAATGGCTCAGAGTAAGTCTTTCTGGCTCATTTTATCTAAATCATTCATAACCAATCAATCTCTTTCACTTCTTTATACTTATTGTTACTTATTTCATTATAAAAATTACGTTGCTTTAACCGTTCTGTGTTCAAAGGATAAAAAATGGAAATCTACCTGTTACTCAGCATTCGCTATCCGTCCGTTGTCTATAAACAAGCTGTAATAACCATACTGTACATAGAATACAACCGTATCCTATGACACACAGGTTAAAATATGATCCGTTGTGGCTAAAACTGATAATATTTAAGAGAAACTTGCTTACAACAAACGTCATTTTGATGCAGAATCATTTGTGCGTTAGTCTGGCTTGCACTTAGCCGGTTTTACAATGCCCACCATTCGGACTAGATTTAAATGTTGTTCATTTTCTTACAGTTTACCAGCTGTGGTACATGTTCTGCGAGAAATGTTACGAGAAGGCGATCAAGGCAGCCCCCTCCATCCGACAGGGACGATCCAAGAGGGCTGAGATGGTGGTCTTCGAGCGGCTGGAACAACCAGTCAGCATTGACCATTGCACCATCAAGGAGAACGCCATATTTCTCCTGGATCTAGCGCCGCTAACAAATCCTGGTAAGATTTTATCCGCAGTTTTTTGTCTATTATAAATATGACAAGCCCGCCAAAACCTCCAAAAATCGCTGTAACTCCTGTAAGCCAGGATCTACAGTAGATACAACCATGAAAACACCGGGATCCTAAAGTCTGGCGCGTCCCAGGGACATGAAAGACTGTCTTGGATCCAGCAACGAAAGAAATTATTTTGGAGATGAAAAAACTAAATAGTTTCTACTTCCCTGCGTAAATTTAATGCTGACTGGGCACTTAAAGGCACATTTTTGTGTCGTTTACAAACATTCATTTCGTTATACATTTTAAACCTTAGGCTGCCGACAGAAAAATATTAAATTGAAATCGTCCGCTATCGTCTGTCACCGGTGACTTCCGTGGCGATTAACGAGTTAATAATATTTTTATAACAGAACCGATCAGCATGTCGGCTTGGGCAGACAACTCGTCCCGTAGTCCACCGACTCCGCCAGGCAGTGTCTGGCAACCAGCGCCACCGTTCCAGTGCCTGCCTGCACTAGGGGCCGCTCCCAAAGCGTTCGCGGCATCTGACGCAGCTCGCTACCATTCTCTGGGTAGACCGATGCCGCCTGCAGTAGCACCATTGGTATGTATTTTCTTTAAATTCTCAATAATGTGCTTTATGGGCCAGTTGATAAACTCAAAGAAACCATAGACCGCTACAGGTAAGGCCCAATAATGCCGATGTTCAGTTGCGGGGCAAGCGCAGCAACGCAATTGCGCTTCCCGGGTTTCGCCTGAAACAAGAGAAGCCAAGCATTTGTTTTTAGTCAGTAAAAGTTAGAAAATTTCTCTCGTCTCGAACAAAGTGTCTCCCGCCCAGGGCGAAAGAAATCAGATGACGAACCAAACCAGAACTGACGCTGACCAATGCTTGCTAAGACCATGAAAAAAAATTTCGATGATATAAAAATGCTGCGAATATATGATGTTTTATTTTGATAAATAACGTACTAAGGAAATTTGATTTATAGGTATTATTAGAGTGATATTAGAGTGACTCTTTTATATTCTGAGTTAGGAAAAGTATACTTCTAGCATTAAGTCCTCCGATATGCAATTGTATATAAAGAATAAAAAAAAAGAAGTATTCCTTCATAAAAGCGAGACATGGGTGCGCTCCTTGTCTCAAATCTTACGCTCTGATCCTCATTATTCTTCGTTGAATATTGGTGCGAAGCGAGGGTGGTCTTCAGATAACGTTAATATCAACTGGCCCAATGAATTCTAGAAAGATTGTTTTAAAATGGTATTATAAATGTTTTTCTCTCATTCAGACGTCAGCATTTGGCGGCATAGAGGGTAACACAAGTTCCAACTGGCCTCGAGTACATCGCTCCGTGTCGATGGGCCAAGCAGGCGGGCGGGACCTGGCCAACGCGGCCCGACCTCCACTCGCTCGTGACACTCCAATGGACCAGGACACACTCACCGGCAAGTCATATTAATTTGATCTTTGTCAATTATTATTATTCTTGTTTGTCTATTAGGAGTGATGTCTAGTTGGCCCCTTCAATTTGAACTTGACTGCACGGTTGGCGCGGTGGCTGGGCCACTGGCTAACGTGCAGCAAGTCGGGTGTAGCGGGTTCGATTCCCGCCACTAAGTCTTTGTGTGATCCATTAATTGTTGTTCCGGGTCTGGGAATGATGTATATGTTTGTAAATGCAGATAAGGGCAAAAATTATGTAGTCATAGTCAATTTATCGAGGAAGGCTATAAAAGATAACGCTACGATCTCTAGCAGCAGGTGAAACCGTGCTAGAGTAGCTAGTGTTTGATAAAAATGTAACTACGACTATTGCAATTTATTCGTTTTCTGTATCTTAGGCGCTGGATCGTCCCTCTTATCGCAACCCAGTGCAGCATTGCGTCGTCTGATTGGCTGCGGAGACTGGACTGCTGGCGCTTCTCTATCGGCCTTCGAGGCACCACGCGTAGACTCCGACTCACTAATGAACAGTCCTGTCATGTCCTTTATTCTCTCTAAGAGAGACTTACATGCGCACAGACAGAAAATGGACGCCGCTGTTCGGATAAACACTGTACGACAATATGCCTTTGAGGTGAGGAAACGAATTTGTCTTTTTCGTAGCCTAAGACTGCCAACAGGCTGACAGATTGGAGGGTGGTTAGTAATCGTTACCGGCCATGGACATCTACAGTGCTAGAGGAGTTACAAGTGCTTTGTCACCTAAGCTTACAGCGAAGCGCTACGATAGCGTTGTTTCACGCCAATTTTCCATGATGTCAGCGTCCACGCCACTAATAACGCCAAAGAATAGGTTATATCAGTAAAAAGCATACATATTTAATTAAAATCTATACGATAATTCAGTTTGTTGTGGTTTATTACAAAGTGATGAATTCCCCAATACCACGGTTGTGAATATACTATGCAAGGGAAGGCTTAACTACTTGGTATAGTATGAATATGAATCACATTGTTTCGTTTCAGGCAATGAACTGGCTCCTACGTTCAGCCACGCAGCCGACTTGCGTGCATGACGTCATGTGGTGGTTCTGCAACGCACTCGACAAGTTTGCGCGCATCGTTCCACCACCGAGTCTCGCTCTTGATGATAACAAAGAGGTATTTATAAAACATATTTTGTGTTAAAATATTTTTTCTGTCAGTGATTGCCATTTGATCATACTATGAAGATAGACATTGTATTAAGCTAAAATACTAGCTTAAATTAGCGGATGATCCATGGTGACAAAAAGTAGCTACTGTTTTTCTTGCGTGCTTGTCCCATGTTATCTCGATCGAGCTTTTCTACTAAACGTAAATAATTTTAAATACATGATAGTTTATTTATTATTTAATGACACGTTCGCCTCGTCATTCGACGAAACCTTCGTAGTCGAGTCCCATCGCGAACAATTTTCACTAGCGATTTTGTAATTTAATACCAAAAGACTGTTCCTTACGCTATCGCACGAATCGTCAGGCACCTAGTTTAGTGTAAAGATATCTCATTTAATGCATTTTTTTAGCTTTACATGTGAAAGTGGCTATATTAACGCAAATATTATGTTTAATTTAGCAGAATGCAGTAAACGAAAGCCCTCGAGGGGTAATCCCGACTGCCTCAGCGTCGGCAATCTGTCCCGGCGCCCGCGCAGCTAGGGGCGCGCGCGCAGCTTTCCATGCGTTCCTTGGCTCTGTGAGCGCATTGGCGCCCTCTCTGCCACCAGCCAGCGCTGCGGGACTACAGGCTGTTCGATGCTGGGCATTACACTATTCACCACACGACCGGACCTTCTTACATAGGTAAATGACTCATAATAAATAAGGTATATAATAGTTATACATAGTTCTACATAGATCGGTCCATGAATGTAACATGCAGCGAAGTGAAGCATAAACATCTAAATACTTAAGAGGTAGTTTTTTTTACGTTAAAGCATTTCTAAACCTTACTTCATTTAACCCTCTGATTAGTACGCTTATTCGGAGCAGGATATCCTTACATGATAGCTTTAACGTAAGGCAAACGTTCGCCCTAGGTGCTTTGCCGTATCTAAGGGACATGAGGTCGACATTGATAATTGACTCTTAATCCGCCCTTCATTCTAATTCTCATTTAATTTCGTTTTTATACTTCAATTAAACACTTGCGGCCTTATTACAAAACAAGGTTTTCCTTAGTCTAAAATATATTATTATTATTATATTTTGAATCTTATACTCATCTACATACAATTTTAAATACAAAAAACTGGTTCAATCATTTATTTAAGACTAAAGAAAAAACTTTTGTACTATAGGGTTTCTGTAGTAGACAAAATAACTGAATTCTAACACTCTTTCGCTGTGACTAGATTTAACTATTGTATATGCGTGTTCTTTGATTATTGATATTCAACATTATTATTATTATTATTTGACCTTTATTATCGACTTGTAAGTATATTTATACAAAATAAACAAGGTCTCTATATAACGTACATTGTGAACTGTTAACGCTGCTCGGATCAGATCACAAGTGTTCAGTGTGATCAGCAAGATATTATCGCACTCTGAGGATGGAGCGTATGAGGAGGGACTTCTAGGAGCCATACAGGAGAGCTTCCATAGCTACCTCAACAAGGTATAATATAGTTGTAAGCATTTTTGGATGAGTACAGCAGAATCATTAAATTTTTGGGCGTCGTATTAAAATCGTCTATTTCTAGAATACGGTAGTTTCCAACTAGTCAAATTCAATACTTTTATCCAAATGTCAAAAACGGTACTTTTCTATGAAATAAGTATGAAAAACTGAGTTATGACGTCAGTCATTTTTGCGTCAAATAGCTTACTTATTTCTTAATAATTAGCTAAAAAATATCTAAGACTTACACCCGGTTTCTGAAAGGCTTGTCAACATTAAAATTAACTAATCTCCTGTTAAAACTCTCGTCAATTCATCTGATTGGTTGACTGAATTATCAACAACCAATCAGATGACTTGACAAGAGATTAAATTGATTTTAACATTGATCAGCCTTTCAGAAACCGGGGGTTAGTGTATCGATCGATCGATGAATAAAAGTATTGTTATTTTTTAATATTATATTGTATTGAAACGTCGAATTAATTTATTTTTAACCTAGGAAACTACCCAATTTCAACAGGAATATTTGCTTCTGGACTAGATCGTTTTTTAACCAACTTGTAAATTGATGTTTAAAAATATTCTATTATAAGTATTACATAGTGAGTATAGTAATAATCACATGAATTAATTCAGAAAGGCTTTACTAGTTTATATTATAGGGGGCTACGCAACGCGCACGCTGCGCATGAATAAGAGTTCCGTTGTTAGTTAAAACTAGTAGAATTTTTCTCAGTAAATTTACGCAAGTAGTTTTTTTTCAGTAAATTATTATTGTTATTAAACGAAAACTCCAAATTAATTTTAGTCTCTTATTTTTGGTAACCTTCACAATAGAACGCCAATTCACTCATATTCTGCGTTGATTTTGATTCTTTATTATAAACGTATAGTTAAACTACAATTAGCGCAGTGCCTGGGTTGCCCTTTACTATAAATATTACATATTTCCAGGAGAATTACGTTTGGACTTGTCCTGACGTGACCGGTTGGTGTGACATCAGTGTTTCGTCTCGCCAAGGAATGGCTGGTGCCCTCACAGACGGCAGTACGGAGACCTTCTGGGAGTCTGGAGACGAGGACAGGAACAAAGCCAAATGGATCCAGATGACGTACCCAGGGGGCACGCCTGATGACAGACCGCACATACTGTGCGTTCACCTCGATAATACAAGGGATACAGTGGTGAGTGCTAAATGGTCTAAGTATATTATAATATAATGAGTAGTTACTTACATGAGGTAAGGAATATACAGTTTTTTTTATAGCATATTGATAAATAGCATTCGGCACAGTTATTGGGTGGATATATGTAGAATGGGTGGGGGTCTAATATCGGGAGCTTTTTTTGTGTTTTGAAGTTTAAACATTATACTTTTACATTCAATTCGAGTCAGTTCGACTAAATATTAACAACTTGAATGTCTAGACAGAGGTAGACGAGACAGAGACAGATGTTTGTAGAAATAGGGAGATTTAAAAGTGGAGTAAGAGATGGAGATACAAATAAATATTCTCCTCTATATCACACATCACAGTAGAAGTAGAGAAAACTATTAAATAGAGGAGAATATTAACTAGAGGGGTAGCAATAGAGACAAAAGTTAGGAAAGACGTATAATAAAGACAGAGGTTAAATTCTGTTCACTTTGTTTTCAGTGAATTTGTTGCGATGCAATATGCTATATGTTTCATTTAAGGTACTTTTAAAGGTTAAATGCCTCCTACTTATTATTATCTTTTATAATATTTTTTCCAGAACAAAACGTTGCTGGTGTCCTTCTTATACAGCGGCGGGTCCAGCGAAATGTTCCACATGCAAGATGTCGAGGTGGACCCTAAGACAGCCACCTGGCTCTGCTACACGATGCCAAGTAAGTTCAAATATTGTATAGTCAGACTATCTTTCTATTATTTCACTTTCGGTATGAAGCTGCTTTGTACAAGAGGAGTCCAAAACAATTATTGGGATTCTTTATCTTAATAAATCGATAGTGTATACATATCACATCATATCAATAGCCTATAAATGTCCACAGATGAGAAAAGGTCTCTTGTCATATTTATAGGGTTTGAGCATTATTAACCAAGCTTGCCCAGGGCGGATTGGTGATTTTAAACTTCTAATCATAATTGCTCACACAAGTAACTATATTATTTTATACCACTGTTCACAATTGTACTCTGCACCAACCAGATATTGTCCTTGAGCGCACTTGGATGTGTTACTGAGGTTGATGAGTTACTTAGGATACTTAGTTACTTTCTATTGTCTCGTTCAGGGGGCACGAGTACATCAGTTCGAGTTCGGTGTGAGCTCCGCGGCCCCGAGCCCGCCGTGAGAG